TCGCTTATCGATAATGGTCACAGTCAGTCCTTCCCATCCCAAGGATCAGCCAGTGTGGGTCTGGAACCGGGGTTGGAGAAACCTAGATGCCAGGATGTCGCTGGACTACTGCCTGGGCTGGCTTGGAACACACGCAAAGTGGACGCGACCTCAGACGGAAGGTTTGGTGCCTTGGAGGACAGGTTATGCGTCCGGAGCTCTCTGCTCCTAGAGGCCTGGAAACACACAGCTATATCCAACTGCTTATGGGCACAGCAGTGGCTAGGCGGACTACATATACCAGCGTGACATTTTTTGCAACCATTCAGTTAAAGTAGAAAAAGCAGAGTGAACATAAAACCAGAGGTAAAAAACATGGTATGTGATACAATTCTCAGCAAGCAGGATGGTAAGAAGACCAGCAGCTGTGGCTGCGCCCTCGGCAGCTGCCTAGTTTGCCTATTGGTAGCACCAGGCCCGGGTAAGTGTTGGAGGGTGGGGGGGGGGGGGGTGGTTATGCACACAAGGTTTTTTACCCTTTAATACAGAAAATGCATTAAGGTAAACCTTTACAACCTCTTTAACAGGACTGCCATATTTAAAATTCTTTACATCTGCAGACTTGTTTCCTGCTTGGTAATGTTACACAGAGGGTGAAATTTTCTTGTTTTTCAGTAACTACAAATGCTGTATCATCTGATTAGTGCATTTTTTTTATTTTATTTTGGGCTGTTACTTACCCTTGCTTCACCGACCAGGAGCAAGTATATGAAAGGTCCTAACATCCAATATGTGCCGACTCATTTCTGGATCAGTATGTTACCAGGTAGTGAGAATGATGAGAATGATGGCCACAGGTCATGCACTTTGATAACGTCATTGTTCTCTGCAGTCCTAAGCCCCTAAGCCTTTCTGAGATGTAATTTTAAAGGCTATGTCCACCTTTAAGTTAAATAATGCAAGGAAATTAATAAATGCAAAATATTTTTGCAGCAGAAATGAATTAACCCCCCCCACAGAAGCCTGCAGTGCAACTTGGCCTTTAATCACAGGCACTTTGACATTGCACTTTGTCTACAGACCGGTATCTAAGCCAGCCAAAAGCCCCATTCACACCAGGTGCATTGGGCAGCCTTGTCCAGCAGTCCCAGCAGTTGGACAGGGCAAATATATTAAGTTGACAGTGCTGTGCTTTAAGGAATATTTTGTGACATTTCAGTAAAGTTGAAGAAAAAAAACAATGTGCCATACCAGCAGCCACATTACAACACAGCTGATGTGGACAAGCTAATGTTAGGCTTGCAGAAGGTAAATGCAGGTTCATGGTTATCACTTGTAGTCCAAATTCTTGACCCTGTTCCAAGACGTCATGCAGCTAGATAGCTAACTGAATTTATCTGAATGCAGCCATATATGATCCTGTAAAGTGATGGTGTGGTCGGCGAGCTGCCTTGACTTTTTGATACAATGAAAAGTACCTTAAACCTGTTCAGGGTTACTGACTGAGGAAGTATTAAAGCCAGCGGGGCAGCTTAAAGCGGAACTACGCTGCAACTGAGCACCAAAAACACAATTTTTATTTTTAATATTCAAAACAACCTTCCCCATCCATTTGTCTTCATTATTTATTTTGCTGAGAAATTGCCCCCATCATTTCTGGCTGTGGCTATCTTGCGTAAGGCCTGATGATTCATGTAGCATTTACTTCCTGTTATCCATCTGCTCTTAGCTCAGGCAGGAGGGTGTGCTTAGCTGAGAAAACCCCTCCTCCTTCTCTTCAGTAGACGCCTTGGATATGTGACATCATTTTCCTAGGTTTGGAAACCAAGCAACTGAAGAAATGTAAAAACAAAACTTAAAACCACTAAATATGATATGATTTACTAATGCTAGCAGCATAAGGACTAAAAATAGTCAATGTCCATTGAGAGAGTAAGCCCTGGTTCACACTGATGCGACCCTTTAAATTGCATGCAATGTTTGGCACAGGAAACGTTCTAATTGGTGTGACTCCGACCTTGTCGGAGTTGCACCAATTTGAAAAAGTCATTCCAGCACTACTTTTGCTGATTTTGGGATGCGACTTGCATAGATATCTGTGAATGAAGTAGCCCAGATGCCTGCAAATCGCACCTGAAGTCCCATTGACATGTGAAGTCACTTGATTTCTAATTTGTGTGCAGTGTGAACGGGGGCTCCTTTCATGTAGTGAGTTCTGTCTTTGTGCAGCTCACAGGATTACCTGCATGCTTTGCAGCTTCTCCTCTGCTGTTTACTTTTCAATTTCTAAGGACTTGCATATTCCATTCTGCATGCAGCAATTCCTGTACTGACTCCACCTCCTGAAACTTCTCATCACCTCCTGTAGTTCAGAAGGTGGGCTCTGCGATATGTGACACAACGGTCTATCAACCAGGCATAGTGACTACATGTCACACAATTCCAGTAACTGAATGTGTAGGGTATCTTCACAAAGCAAGTCTACAAACTGAGATTGTTCAGATGAGTAGATTAGTAATAATTGACTTTCAATGTGGAAATAAATATTTGATTTTACACGTTGACTTACACTTTAGACAAGGGATATACTGATACTGTTATTTGTGCCAATGCTGAGTATTTGCACTAGTACTCATGAAAATGCTTCAGATACCCAAAACTGATACTTTGCAATGCAATTTGCTTCCGTACAAAATGAATGGACGCAAATCACACTGCAAAGAATGGCATGCGGTTTCCCATGGGGAAACAGCATGCATATCATACTTGCCGTGCTTGGTTTTATTTTATTTTTTTATTTAGGTTATAGGTCTATCCCTACTTTACACTTTGGTTGTGGTTCTACAGGCTGAAGGTTTTTTACCTTGGTGTTCTAAGCATAAAGGTAAAAAAAACACCTGGATGCAGCTTCACACTCCCCAGCCCCCCCAATACTCATGATCATGATCTGGCTTCCCCAGGTCTCTCTCTCTCCTCATTGGCTACCACTGCTGTCAATCACAGCCACTGAGCCGATGAGGAGAGAGTGGGTGGTGTGGACTTATGGACACAGAGTGGGTGGGGCTGGGGAACGTGCATGCGCCAGTGCCCCTATAGCAAGCAGCTTGCTATTGGGGGCACTGGTCATGGGGGAGGAGTCAGGAGTGCCAGCAAGGGACCTGAGAAGAGGAGGATCAAGGGTGCTCTGCAAAATCTATCTCTCGATCTATCTAATCTATAAATTATTGGGACGCCTGCCTTTTACACTCACATGAACTTTAATGGAATCCCAGTCTTAGTCCGTAGGGTTCAATATTGAGTTGGCCCACCCTTTGCAGCTATAACAGCTTCAACTCTTCTGGGAAGGTCACACAAGGTTTAGGAGTGTGTCTATGGGATGTTTCGACCATTCTTCCAGAGCACATTTATGAGGTCTGGCACTAATGTTGGACAAGAAGGCCTGGCTCGCAGTCTCCACCAAAAGGTGTTCTATGGGGTTGAGGTCAGGACTCTGTGCAGGCCAGTCAAGTTCCTCCACCCAAAACTCGCTCGTCCATGCCTTTATGAACCTTGCTTTGTGCACTGGTGCGCAGTCATGTTGAAACAGGAAGGGACCATCCCCAAACTGTTCCCATAAATTTTAAGAGCATGAAATTGTCCAAAATGTCTTGGTATGCTGATGCCTTAAGAGTTCCCTTCACTGGAACTAAGTGACCAAGCCCAACCCCTGAAAAACAACTCCACACCGTAATCCCCCCTCCTCCAAACTTTACACTTGGCACAGTGCAGTCAGGCAAAGTACCGTTCTCCTGGCAACTACCAAACCCAGACACGTCCATCAGATTGCCAGACAGAGAAGCATGATTTGTCACTCCAGAGAAAAGGTATCCACTGCTCTAGAGTCTAGTAGTGGCGTGCTTTATACCACGGCATCCGACGCTTTGCATTGCACTTGGTGATGTAAGGCTTGGATGCAGCTGCTCAGCCATGGAAACCCATTCCATGAAGATCTCTTATGCACTTTTATCCTAATCTTAAAGCCATACAATGTTTTGGAGGTCTTTAGCTATTGACTCTGCAGACAGTTGATGACTTCTGTGCGCTTCAGCATGCACTGACCCCGCTCTGTCATTTTACCTGACCTTGTGGCTGAGTTGCTGTTGTTCCCAGCCGCTTCTGCTTTCTTATAATACCACTAACAGTTGACTGTGGAATATTTAGTAGCAAGGACATTTCACAGATGGACTTATTGCACAGGTGGCAGCCTATCATGGTACCACGCTTGAATTCACTGAGCTCCTGAACGACCCATTCTTTCACAAATGTTTGTAGAAGCAGTCTACATGCCTAGGTGCTGATTTTATACACCTGTGGCCATGGAGGTGATTGGAACGCCTGAATCCAATGATTTGGAGGGGTGTCCCAATACTTTTGGCAATATAGCGTATATGTGTGTGTGTGTGTATATATGTATATATGATATATATGTGTGTGAATATATATATATATATATATATATATATATATATATATATATATATATATATATATATATATATATATTTATATATTTTTGCGTGTGTGTGTGTATGTAATTCTTTAAAAAAATAAATAATTATCACAAAGTAGCAAAATGATTTTCTCTAGACATTTTTGTCCCAAGAGTTCTAAAATCACTAGAAGATGTCTTAAATAACACCGCACATGCAGATTGATGAGCACAGATGGCACATTCATAGATTTGTATATCAGCCCTGTGTTGTTCACCAGACGTCAATGGATGGACTGTGATGATGGCATATTTTAAAATCGGAGGGAGGAGAACGTTATTTAGAATATAGAGCCTTGTCAGCAGTATCCATGGTGATTTGTAGAAAACATCTAATCTCCTTGACTCCAGGAGTAGCTGACACAGGGGACTTGACAGCCCTTGTTTACAAAGTTCAAGCAATGCTATTGCCATATTAAAATACATTTTAATGTTTTGCATTTTTGTAAGTACGGATATGTTCATATAACCTAATTTTTTGTTCTTTTCCTAGGAAGTGGATGATAAGGTAATCAGTCCAGAAAAGGTAGAAGAGGCCAAATTAAAAGCAAGGTATCCTCATCTGGGTCCTAAGCCAGGAGGTTCTGATTTCTTGCGGAAACGGCTTCAAAAAGGGGTAAACAACTTCAAAACCTGTTAATATTTAATTCCAGGAAGATTTATTCAAAGCTTTGTCCACAATATGCTGTTTTAAAAACAATGCTCCCTCTTCATGCATGTGTGTGGATTTTGCAGTCTGCTCTGTAATTTTTTAAATGGAAGTAGTCCTCTCCATAGTAGACTGATGCACAGAAAACTGTGAATCAAAAATCCATCTAAAATTTGCCTATGTCAGTTATGGGGAAAGGTTGCCACCATCCCTTACAGTGGATATAAAAAGTCTACACGCCCCTGTTAAAATGTCAGGTTTCTGTGGTATAAAAAAATAAGACAAAGATAAATCATTTCAGAACTTTTTCCACCTTTTAATGTGACCTATGAACTGTACAACTCAATTGAAAAACAAACTGAAATATTTTAGGGGGGGAGGGGTAAACATAGAAAACTAAAATGTGGTTGCATTAATGTGTACACCCTCTTATAACTGAGGATGTAGCTGTGTTCAGAATTAAACAATCACATTTAAAATCATGTTACATAGGAGTCAGTACACACGTGCCTCTGATTAACCCCAATTAAAGATCAGCTGTTTTAGTAGGTCTTTCCTGACATTTTCTTAGTCGCATCCTACAGCAAAAAGCCATGGTCCACAGAGAGCGTCCAAAGCATCAGAGGGATCTCATTGTTAAAAGGTATCACTCAGGAGAAGGGTACAAAACATTTCCAAGGCATTAGATATACCATGGAACACAGTGAAGACAGTCATTCTCAAGTGGAGAAACTATGGCGCAACAGTGACATTACGAAGAACTGGACATCCCTCCAAAATTGATGAGAAGACAACTGGTCTGGGAGGCTGCCAAGAGGCCTGCAGTTTTGTCTTTCCTCATTCAGTAACATTAAATATGCAGGAATATCTGGCAAGTACTGGCTGTGTGGTACATTTGACAACAATCTTCCGTATTCTTCATATGTCTGGGCTATGGGGTAGAGTGGCAAGACGGAAGCCTTTTCTTACAAAGAAAAACATCCAAGCCCGGCTACATTTAGCAAAAACACATCTGAAGTCTCCCAAAAGCATGTGGGAAAATGTGTTATGGTCTGTTGAAACCAAGGTTGAACTTTTTTGGCCATAATTCCAAAAGATATGTTTGGCACAAAAAAAAAAACACTGCACTTCACCAAAAGAACACCACACCCACAGGGAAACATGGTGGTGGCAGCATCATGCTTTGGGGCTGTTTTTCTTCAGCTGGAACTGGGGTCTTATTCAAAGTAGAGAGGGAATTATGAACAGTTCCAAATACCAGTTAATATTGGCACCTTCAGGCTTCTGCTAGAAAGCTGAACATGAAGAGGAACTTCATCTTTCAGCATAACGACCCAAAGCATACATCCAAATCAACAAAGGAATGGCTTCACCAGAAGATTAAAGTTTTGGAATGGCCCCGCCAGAGCCCAGACCTGAATCTGATCAAAAATCTGTGGAGTGATCTGAAGAGGGCTGTGCACATGAGATGCCCTCGTAATCTCTGACAGATTTGGAGTGTTTTTGCAAGGAAGAGTGGGCAAATATTGCCAAATCAAGATGTTCCATGCTGATAGACTCATACCCAAAAAGACTGAGTGCTGTAATAAAATCAAAAGGTGCTTCAACAAAGTATTAATTTAACCATTAGCCGCCCGGCCAATGGCCGTTTGGCGGCTTGAAATGCGCTCCTAAATTCCGGGTGCACGCCATTTGGCGTGCTCCCGCACATGCGCAGTTTGCGGCACAGCAGAGCGGCGCAGCAGCGGGATCTGTCACGGGCCGTGCACCTCGGACACGGCCGATGACAGATCCGAGTACCGGCTCCCGTAGCTGGTACCATGTGACCCGCTGTGACCAATCACAGCAGGTCACATGATAGTTGTATACAATGGATGGCTTCATTCATGATGCCATCCATTGTATACTAGTGCCTAGCTGTGAATGGTCACAGCAGGTCACATGCACATGTCGTGATTAGCTGTAACCAAATCACAGCTAAGCACAAAAAAAAAAAAAAAAAGCTGAATGAATCGATTTCATTCAGCTAAATGCTTGCTTATAGCAAAGTAATTCTTTGCTATAAGCAAACTGTGTATAAAAAAAAAAAAAAAAAAAAAAAAAAATACTTATCACTCCCCCAAAGTAGTACAATGTTACTATGGTAACATTGAACTACTTTGGTCATAGTAAAATATGAAAAACAAATCTTTAAAAAAATGTAATAAAAAATTAAATATAATAAAAAAAAATTAAAAAAATATATATATAATTTTTTTTTTCATACTGTCACCAGTCAGTGTCCATGTTCACCGCCATGCCAGTTATATGAAGACGCTGTACTGCACTGGTGACAGTATGTAAAAAAAAAAAAAATAGTGAAAATAATTTTTTTTAATTTTTTCATTTTCCGAAAAATTATGACAAAAAAATACAACTTCAAAAAACTCGCCATGCCTCTTATGAAGTACGTCGGACTGTCTACTCTGCAAAAAGGGGTCATTTGGGGGATATCTGTACTATTCTGACATTCTTGGACCTCAAGAAATTAGATTGGCTGTCAGTACTTCAGGACTGATCAATTTTCAGATCTATACCGTAGTTTGTGAACTCTATAACTTTCCTACAAACTAAAAAATACATCCTAATTTGGGTTATTTTCACCAAAGACATGTAGCAGAATACATCTCGGCCTAAATTTATGAAGAACAATTATTTATTTGTAAACTTTTATAACAGAAACAAAGAAAAACGTGTTTTTGTTTTCAAAATTTTTGGTCTTTTTTTGTTAATTTAGCAAAAAATAAAAACCCCAGCGGTGATTAAATACCACCAAAAGAAAGCTCTAGTTGTGTGAAGAAAATGATAAAATTTTAGTTTGGGTACAATGTTGTATGACCGCGCGCAATTGTCATTCAAAGTGTGAGAGCGCTGAAACCTGAAAAATGGCCTGGGCAGGAAGGTGTAAAATCACACGGTATTGAAACGGTTAAGGGTGTGCACACTTAGCAACCATGTTATTTTAGGTTTTTTTTGTTCAACTGAGTTGTACAGTTTATAGGTTACATTAAAGGTGGAAAAAGTTCTGAAATTTCTGACTTTTTTTTTTTTTTTTACATCACAGTAACCTGACACTTTAACAGGGGTGTGTATAATTTTTATATCCCCTGTATGTAGTAATAATAAGCATAGAAAAAGTTGTATGTGCCATTTGAGGGGACTTTGAAGGCAACCAAGAATAAGCAAACCACCAGATTATTAACCATATATGTTTCATTTTATTACAATTAAAATATGCAGCCAGTAACTTGTTGCAAATTGTTCCATTAAAATGACATATTGCATTACAGCTCATAATTCGCTTTTGGATTGGAACACCATCCTGTAACACAATGCGGTACAGCCAGTTAGGATTCCGCTGGATTGTTGAAATTCCCCAGTCCATACACTGGAATCATCTTTCGTGTTTCGAGTTGATATATAAATTATTCATCAGGGAAGAAATGTACCACACCATGATTAAACCAAACGACACAATAATAAGCATAACATAGACATGCTACTTCACCCAAAGTTTACATCACATTTTCCGCCATTGATGTGCACAGAGTCCACTTGCAGATTAAAAAGCTGTGGCCACCTATCTCAGCATCTGAGGGGGGCTCACTCCAGCTGGTTAGGTTCAAATTAAGGAATAAACAGAATTTTTAGATCAATAATTCAAAACATGTAGGATGTTTCCAGTGAATGGATTGACTGGGAAATTTCCTGACTAGCTGCACCACATTGTTACAGGGTGGTTTTCCAATCCGAAAGTTACTTATGAGCTGTAATGCAATATGAAACTATTTGTAATCTGTTACTAGCTACGTATTTTAATTCGTAATAAAATGAATTTTTTATATATGGTTAATAATCTGGTGGTTTGCTTATTCTTGGTTTCCTTCAAAGGAAATCCATTTATTGACCTAAAGCCCAATTGAAGGTCAGATTAAAGGCCAAGCTCACTTTTTGTGGCACAAGTTTACATTTGTAAAAGTTTGATGTAAAGGCTCAAGGTTTTTTACCTTCATGCATTCTGTGCATGAAGGCAAAAGACCTTCCCCGCCCCTGCCCCCTAATACTCACTTAAGCCCCCATCTCGATCCAGCAATGTGCACTGCAGTCCCTGCTATCCCGGGGACCCCCTCTTTTCATTGGCTGAGACAACAGCAGGAGCTATTGGCTCCTGCTGCTGTCCATCACAGCCAGTGAGCCAATGAGAAGAGTAGGGGCGGGGCCGTGTGTGAATGGACAGCAGCGGCTGGGGGGAGTGCACATGATCCGGTTCCCATATTGTAAGCTGCTTACTCTGCTTTACAGAGTATTGTAAGAGGCTGTAAACCGAGCCACATAAAAAAAAAAAAATTAAAAAATACCTGTATATATTTAAAATGGTGTGGGGTTTTTTTTTCTCACGGTATAGATAGTAGTAAAACTATGCCATTGTTTTATTACTGTACCTCTTAGTGGGACGGTTAAAGAACCTCCAGTTTAAGGCAAAACTTTCTCAAAAATGTCTTCCAGGACAGCCCCTTGGGACTCGGCGTCCAAGCTACGCCTTTGTGCCTTACTCTTTTCAGGCAATAACCTTTTTGATCCAGGAGGCCTTGGAGCGTACAGCCGATAAAGAGGGTGTTTCCAGAGGGTAAAAGAGATCTTACTCCAGGAGGGTTTTTTGCCAGAAAACGCAGGGCCAGCAAAGTGAGGATGTTCAGCCGAAGAAACATTGGACAGGGCACAAGAACAAGGGTAAGGGGGGAATCTTATTCGATCCTCCTCAGGGCCCCACAAAATCTCAATGACTCGAGCGTCCCAGTGGGAGG